CCAGGGAAGCGCTTATTCCACTGAGCCATCTCCCTGGCCCCCTGGAATTTGTTTAAGTAGTATCCAATTTTACTGACTAATTTCTAGATGGCTATCCAGTTATCTTCCCATATTTATTAACATATGCAAAATTCTTCCTTACATCTGAATAACTTTCTTATAACTTCAGGTTTTCTAGTTCTATCAGTTTGAATATCTATCCTTGTAATACCTCATTTCTTTAATAAGCATAGTTTTAGAACACATTTCAATATTGAATATGTCAAGTATTTAACTTTCTATTGGATATTTATCTAATTTATTCTTTCAGATAACCTTTAAAAACCATTTTTACAAGTTGAAAAATAAAAAGGCTTCTCCATTTTTACTGGAAATGTGTTTAAATTTATGGATTCATTTGGTAGAAAGTTGAGTCTGTGGGCAGGTAGAACATTTATTTAAAGACCATGAACTATTGAAGACGTAGTATTGGAGTACAAGGAACAATATAGGAACAATGGTGTGGCTTTATTTAAAGGTCTTCCTGGCATTAAGCTTTTCCTACCCTCTCTACTGCTCCAAGATATCTGGGAGGAATGGGCTAAACTAATTACTCAATGCGCAATAGCTGGAGGAATTTTATTCTCTGAATTCCTACAGAGAGTGGAGGTTATTTGAAAGCATTTTGTTCTTCTGGGATATTTTTCTCACTGTTTTTGTGTACAATATTGTCTCCTAATGTGGCTGTCCCACAAGGACAGTAAAAGCAAAGTAAAACAAACAATCCTTTCTCCAAATGTTGTATTAATATCATTAAACACCTGCAGCATATACAATCCATGTTAAGCGGCGTGAGCCCTCTGTACTAGGGGGGCTTTCAGGTCAGAGGGGAAGATGAAACAGGTAGTGTAAGGCCAACAGTGTTGTTTACCTTCATAATTGGCATATAGTGACAGTGGCATGATTCAAAGGGAGAAGCAGTATTGTGTTGGCAAGTCATCTTTCATATAGTGCATTCTGATTTTTGTGGTATAAATATTTTTGCCGTGGCCAGTTCTGAATTGCCAGCATGGCTCCTCTGAACAAGGGAGAACTGTGCACAGCGTGGTGCCCCGTGGTACCAGCTGGGCCGGCGTACCAATGGAGAGACAGAAATGGGCTTTGAAACATGGTGAGTTTCAAAGGTAGAAATGGAGGTGAACATACTATGGGCAAAACAAATAGTGGGAGCAGAATTTTAGAGTTAGGGAAATAACTGTCTCAGGTGAAACTTGGATATTTTTCAGTCCTTTGGAGAGACACCTTAGGCAGATGAATCAGGCTGCCTTGAGCAAGGTGCGTCTTGTTCTAGGCAGCTGAGTGAGATAGAAATACATGCAGTCAGACAGGGCCTGGCCCTCAGAGGACCCGATACGGAAGACAAGACCTTGCAACTGTGGCAGAGACAGGTACCTCCCTTGTGGGCAGACCTTAAGACAAAAGATTAAACAAGTGGAACTGCATACCTCCCTAGGGATGGACATCAGAGACTGACATTCTAAATAGGTATCAATCACCTTGAAAAAGCCAGGAAGAGTCACTAACCCAACCCCCTACCGCAAAAGTCCCTGTTCTGTGTTCATGTCCTCTTTCTACGTGACTCATTTCTCCATTTGATCCTGATTTAATCAATTTTACCTGAACAATTAAGCTTTTGATCTTATTGGTGGACCATAGTTTTTAGTTTTAAATTTTATACAAGGTCTACAGGGTCCACAGGGTCTCATTACATAGATCAGACTCCTAGTGATCCTTGTTTTCAACCTCCCAAGTGCTGGGATTACAGGTACGTTCCACGATGCCCAGTCCGATGCACCATAGTTTTGTCCCACCGTGTGCTCACCTTGCAAGTTCCCATGTTTTCCACCTTAGACTCACCTCATCTCATGGTTTTGCTCCATAAAAATCCCTAGAAAAGATAGATTCCAGGGCAACGCATTCGGGACCCACTTCTATCCCTCTCTCGAACAGCTTTCTTTCCCCCAATTAATATATTCTGCTCCTAACCTCTGTTGTACCTAAAACTCATTCTTTGGTTTTAGAGAACACAGACTCATCATAGGTATTCTTCAGTTTGGGAGTTTCTTTTGCCTGTATCAGTCTGAGCAGGAGGAATGAGCAGTCAAGTGTTCAAATAATCCTTCAGACACCCACGTTACATTTGTCCCTGGTTCTGACTGCACTTGGTGAGTTGAGGGGAAACACTGCTGACCATATGTAAAGAGATATTTGAAGAGTTATTTCCTGTTTTGAATTGTAGCAAAGAGTAAAAAACTAAATGAATAAATAAGTAAACACATGTACTTTGTGTAGTTTATTTTAAAAATGTGATCTTTTGGGGGGCCTGCCCCTTAGCTTAGTTCTTTAAGTGGCTGCTTCAACAAAGCAGTCAGGCTCAGGTTGCTGTGGTTCGATCCCCACAACTCAAGCCAGCCAAACCTGCCCTGAAGGCATTTGGAGCAAAAGAAAAAAAAATCCTTCTGCCTTTTTTAGCTCATTGGCCAAGCAAGAGCCGTGACTCATCCACATGGCTGACACTGACAAAGGTTCTACAATCCAAGGTACAGGATCTCAGGATAAATCCTGAGGGGATTTCACTGACCTTATCAGACCCAAAAGCTACAACTCTTGTTACATAGGTCCTGCTTTACCTTGGTCTTAACCATCCAGCAGAAAAATATAAAAACGAAGTATAAGGAGTAAAGCCATGCTGTTATGTTGAGCTGTAGGGGACTCAGGCCAACAATTTCTGACATTGCCAGTCAAGTGGAAAACCTATTACTATTATGGACTACTGAACTCTTTTAGAATATTTTGCTGAGTTTACACACCTATAATATTTAAATGATGGGACTTACCAAAAAAAGGGACTACAGATGAATATCCGTTTTGTATCTGTGTATTCAAAGTGGTTAGGATAGATATATAGTTACATTCTCTTAATGAATAGAGGGACTTGTTCTAATGGTGTTTGTAAATAGGATATCAAGTCCACATCTTGTACAGCAATTAACCATTAGGAAGAATGTATGCAATGCGTTAATTATTGAAACTGTCCTACCAATTTGGTTTGAAACCGTCTCATTGCTATTTGTTTCTCAATAAAATTATGAAAAAACCCAAAAAAACCCCAAAATATGATCTTTTTAGTGTTTGGAGTTGTATTTGCTTTGAAGGCAAAGGATAGAAAAATCCACCTCAAAATATCTTAAGGGATGAAGAAACAAAACAGTTGTGCTCTTGCTGTCCCACCAACTATTGTTTTTCTTCGCTCTGCTGGGAAATTGAACCCAGGACCTCTAATGCTAGACCAGTGATCTGCTGATTAGCTGCAGCCCCAGTGTGGCCAATTCTGTACACGCTGCTCCCCTTGCTCCTGCCAACCACTGCCTTACTTTGCCTAAGGGTTTTCTCTTACTGCCATACTCTGCTTGGTACACAGGTCTAAGTGCTAGAGAATAAATGCCCCATTCTAGGAGCTGCCCTCACCAATGACATACAAGACTTGAGGTGTCAATCCCCTAGCTCCTTGTGCCCTCAGGTAGGATAACTTGGGGCAGGTATTCCACATCTGTTCCTGAGTTGTTCTGGCAGGACCCAGCTCCAGTGGTCCGCTGTGGCAGCTGGCTTGACAATACCCTCTTGTTGACTGACTTTGCTTTCAGACTCTTCCCTGTGCTCCTTCCGCTTCTCCATGGATCACCTTTCAGTCATGCCTGTCACACTCTTTGTCTGCTTCTGGGAGAACCAAAGCTAGGACAGCTGGTGTGTGCAATAAAAAAGTCTTAGGTTCCAAAAGCTACAACTCTTATTGCATAGGTCCTGCTTTACCTTGGTCTTAACCATCCAGCGGAAAAGTATAAAAATGAAATATAAGAAGTAAAGCCATGCTGTTATGTTGAGCTGTAGGGGACTCAGGTCAGCAATTCCTGACATTGCCAGTCAAGTGGAAGACCCAATACTATTATGGGCTACTGGACTCTATTAGAATATTTTGCTGAGTTAACACACCTATAATATTCAAATAACGGAACTTAACAAAAAAAGGGGATACAGATGAATTTTGTATCTGTGTATTCAAAGTGGTTAGGATAGATATATAGTTACATTCTCTTAATGAATAGAGGGACTTGTTCTAATGGTGTTTGTAAATAAGATATCAAGTCTGCATCTTGTACAGCAATTAACCACTAGGAAGAATGTATGCAATGTGTGAATTATTGAAACTGTCCTACCAATTTGGTTTGAAACTGTCTCATTGTTATTTGTTTCTCAATAAAATTATGGGAAAAAAAGGGGATACAAAAAAAAAGTTTTAGGTAGGTCAGCTTCAGTCATAGTAGGGTGTAGCGGTTCCAAACATGTTATCAAGATTTAGTTTTGCTCTCTGTTTTTATAGGGTCATCTTCTCTCGTGGTGGGAACCTGGCAGGCCAAGGCTCATATCCTGGCTTCTTACATTCCCAGCAGTCTTTCTAATATTTTCATATAAAACTTGGGATGTGGCATGGGTAATGCGCTTACACTTGAACCAATCATTTTGGCCAGAGGAATGAACCACAAGAATTGGTCAGGGGATTCCATGGGTGGGTAGGCTTTATCCAAATTCCAACATGGGTAAGAGGAGGGAAGTCTTGGTTTGTCTAGGGAAAGATCAATCAAGGGGTTACCAGAAGAAGAGATAGGTGTGGAACAGGCAAAAACTATGCATGAACAGCCTGATGGACTTTACCATCATTCTTAGGCATAAGACTCAGAGATAAACTTGGTCTTGAGAGTCAGGTCTTACACACATGACCTCGTTTTTCATTGATCCCACACGTGGGGAGATCAGCTGCCTCCCCATCAGTTCCAACTGCAGCATCTGCATCTGCCCTCTTCCTGTCCTCTCCTAGGCTCTCAGGGCAGGTGGCTGTTTATTACTGAGCCCTGGGGTTTTTGTAAGGCTCTTTCTGTTACTACTCTCACTGTGGTATCTGCAACAGTGCAGAAATAGACAGCGGAATCACTGAGTGTTAAGGCTGAGATGGTGAGCTTCAAAAGTGGTTTCTGAAACACCACGGAGTATCGTCCTTTCTGTGAGCTTGTACTGGAAGAATACAGATGAGTTATGTAAATCATCTTTCCACTGGAGGGCTGTTGATACCAGTGCATTACATAGGAAGAAAAACTGACTGTGATTTTGCAATCTATGGTCACAGATTCTCTTTCCCGTGTGTACAAAACATCTGTAGGTTGATGCTGAGCATTACTAGAACCTGTACAAAATAAAAAAATAAAAGATTATCAGTGGATATTACTCACAAGCTGACTTTCACCAATAGACAGATTTTGACCCAGAAAATGAAGTGGAGCAAAGCACAGGCCAGCCCTATTCCAACTTCTCCCTTTGGCTGTTCCCTGTGCCAGCCTCCAGGGCCGGCTTCATTACCAAGGCAAATGCAGATCACAGCAGCACCCAGGACAGCAGGCAGCCCACGCTGCATTTCTGAGGCTCTTCCCGCTGGCGGAATGGCTCGTGTTCTGTGGTCCCCTGATTGGTCCCAGAACGTCTTTTGAGCTGTTTACCATGTGACCCAGAATGGGGCTGCTACTGCTGAGAGCCTGGAATGTGGTTTCTGTGCACACAGATGTAGTCGTGTCACCTGCTGCCTGTGCTTGCCCTCCCATGTCACTTCTGTCATGCCTGTTCCTTTCTTTTAAATAAGCACAGAACAGGTAGCATATTTTAGATTCTGAAAGACAAAAACATCCACATCTACTCTCCTTATTCAGAGAGGAACATTGTTAATGCTTTTTTATTTTACTTATGTCTCTTTTCTTATTTTTATAAACAAATATGTAGGCCTTAAAGAAATGAGACTTATACTAATTTTATCTATCTATCTATCTATCTATCTATCTATCTATCTATCTATCATCTATCTATCTATCTATATCAGCACACAATTTAATTGTTTGAAAATGTGTTTTTTTGTCCTTTATTTTTTTTCTTTTTTTATTATTAATTTTATTGAGAAAGAAGTAGCAATGGGACAGTTTCAAAACAGGCTAATAGGGCAGTTACAATAATTAATACATTGCATATTGTTGCCTTCACCATAGTCATTCATAGTACAAAATGCAGACATTATATCTTATCTAAACACTTTAGTTCAAAACTTTCTTCTCATTGAACTAAGAGAAAGCTATAAATCTATGTTATTTTGTATTTACATATATTTACATATATATGTATTTACATATATATTGTATTTACATATATATATATATCTTTTTCACTACAAAATGATCCTTCATTTATATCCCCCTTTTTGTTTACTTTTGTGAGAAATGGACATTACATTGCCATTCATATATTGTAGGTGCATGAATTCAGCAAAGTAATCCAATATAGTCCAGTAGTCTATAATAGTAGTGGGTATCCACATGACTGGCAATGTCAGAAGTTGTTGACTTGAGCCTTTTACAGCTCAGCATATTAAAATGGCTTTACTTTTTATACCTTGTTTTTATACCGTTCTGCTGGATAGTTAAGACCAAGATAAAGCAAGACCTATGTAACAAAAAATGTAACGTTTGTATCTGACAAGGTCAGTCAAATCCCCTCAGGATTTACCCTGAAACCCTGTACAGCAGTTTGTAGATCCTTTGTCAGTGTCTGCCATGTGGATGAGTCATGGCCATTGCTTTAATTTTTTTTCTTTTAAATTGTAAGCCATGAGTGGTGGTGCAAACTTGTAATCCTAGCACTTGGGAGAGTGGAAAAGAGGATCATCATGAGTTTGGGGCTAATCTAGACTACATAGCAAGTTCAGGGCCAGCCTGAACTACATAGTGAGAAAAAAAATTAAAAGATTAAAATGAAAAAAGGAAGGTATTTAGGTCTAATAAGACGGTAACATATGATCTAGTTAATACATTTTAAGTGTTCCATATATTGTTGTTGACATATAGTGTTGTGTAACAGCTTAGAGCTTAATGACTGTATGTGAATTGTTTTTATGCTCATTTGTGCTCAACTGCACCAAGGCCCTGCTAACCACCATGTCACTCTTTCATTCAGTGAATGCTTACATTTTATATTCATTGTATAGGTGCAACCACATAGTACTTATCTTTCTGTGACTGGGTTATTCCACTTACTATAATGTTTTTAAGAATGATTAATAATAGTACAACATGTGGCTTTTCTAGCCTCATAACAAAGCCCCTGGGATAATCAACTTATGAGAAGCAAAGGTTTATTTTAGCTTACAATTTTAGATGCTCTAGTCAAGGAGTGGGCATACATATTGCTGTGGGCCTCTGATGGATGAGTCAGATGACAATGGTAGGGAGTACATGGTGAAATGACCAGGGAACAACAGTAGAGGACGAGACTGGGGTCGCACAGTTCTCTTCAAGGGCATAGCCCCCAGTGACCTGTGGACCTCAACCTCCTCCCCCTCTTCCTCCTTCTTTTTCTTCTTCTGTATTTTAGGGAAGGGTCTACAGGGCTTTCAGGGTCTTACTACTAGATCAGACTTGTAGTGATTCTCCTGTTTACAACCTCCCAAATGTTGGAATTACAGGCGTGCGCCACCAAGTCCAGTCTTAATCACCCATCTCTGTGTGCCCTGAGGGGTGGGGCCAGCATGGTAGGCCTGGGGATTGAACCCCTAGCCTCTGTGCCTGCTTGCAGGTGCTTTAATCTGCTGAGCTATTTGACCAGCCCCAGATCCCATCTTCTAAAAGTTCCATCACCTCTCAGTAGTGTCTTCTTGGGAACCAAGCCCTTACCACATGGCCTTAGGAGAGACATTCAAACCATAGCATTCTGCCAAACTAAAACTTTCTGCCCTGGCCCAAAAAGGTTCATGTCTGCTAACAATGTAAAATACACTCATTTCATCCAGAGAGCAGGAGATAAAGGGACAACTAGCAGAACAAAGCTAGGGCCTGAGTAGACACTAGAGATAAAATCCTAATTAGAGCTCAAAGGATAAAAGAGTAATCAATTCTGCTTTCCTGATGTCAGAGGTCTATGTAACAATAACAGTGACTGCAACCCTTCATTTGCAGGTTTCTGCCAAGTTTGGAAATGCCATCAGATGGGACCCACCAATGGGTCACTTGTACAAACTGCCCCTTGTACACCCACCAAAACCAGTTGCTGAAGGCTGCATGTAAGTCCCTAAATTTAGGTGTTTCAGTAGCATCCTTTGTTGGAGCCCCTCTTAGTTAGTGAGAGTTTCTCTTTCTTTTTCCTTCCTTCCTTCTTTCCTTCCTTCCTTCCTTCCTTCCTTCCTTCCTTCCT